TAGAGTCGAATGTGCGCGGCGCTTTGGCGAGAGCCACATTCAGAAAACGGCCCGCCCTCCATGTTTGAACTAACTGCCATGTTTTAGTTTCTGGGTCAGAAGTGGTTGGGAAATCTGAGGCGAAACGCCCCGCCCGCCCTTTCGACTGGCCTCGGGGTGCAGGAGGAGGAGGAGGAGGAGGGGGAGGAGGAGGAGGAGGAGGAGGAGAAGGAGGAGGAAGAGGAGCAGAAGGAGGAGGAGGAGGAAAAGGAGGATGAGGATGAGGATGGGGAGGGAAATGAATGAATGGAGGAGGAGGAGGAGGAAGAGGAGGAGGAGGAGGAGGAGGAGGAGGAGGCGGAGGAGGAAGAGGAGGAGCAGGAGAGGAGTAGGAGTGGGAGTCAAGCTAGAGTCGAAGCAGCATGCCCAGTCCCACCCGCCCTCCCACAACATAAGAAGCAAAGCTGGCACAACTGGGGGCCGAAGTCACACCGGCCAGCCGGTTTGGTACAGCTGATGCGGCCGCGATGGCGGTTGCCGACGGGAACTGGCGAGCGCGTGTTGAATGCCGCGCACGCATTGCCAGACGAGTCGAGAATGGCCCGGTACACCGCAGGAAGCCAGAGGTGGCCGGAGGAAGCCCGACGGTCTGACAGGACACCCCAAAGCATTTTTGTGAAAAAGCATTGGGTTTTTGATGTTTTTATGTTGAAATGCTTGCAAACACACGGTGTTCGGTAGGATTCTGACATGAACGCGCGAGTGTGCTCTTTGTGGTATTTTTTGCACAGGATTCGCGGCCTGGGTGCATGACAGAGCATCGCGAGTGCACCGCGCGATGACGTGAAATCGCTGGATTTGACCGAATTCTTAAGATTCCTATGGTTTTCCTATGATTTCAGCAAGAGAGCCCGGGCGGGAAATTTGTACAATTTTTGTGAAAAAAACATTGGGTTTTTGATGTTTTTATGTTGAAATGCTTGCAAACACACGGTGTTCGGTAGGATTCTGACATGAACGCGCGCGTGTGCTCTTTGTGGTATTTTTTGCAATGGATTATCGCCGTGGACGACAGGACGTCCATGTCGAGAGGAAAAAATAAGAAAAATGTTGATTTTGTATTGTTTTTTACAGGTTAGGATGGGACCACCCGGATGCGGCCCCTAATGGCCGGCCTGAGGGGGGAGTCGGAGTATATTCTAATAAGGAATGAGGATAGGAGTAGGAGTAGGAGTAGGAGTAGGAGTAGGAGGAGGAGGAGGAGGAGGAGGAGGAGGAGGAGGAGGAGGAGGAGGAGGAGGAGGAGGAGGAGGAGGAGGAGGAGGAGGAGGAGGAGGAGGAGGAGGAGGAGGAGGAGGAGGAGGAACAAAAAGGAATATCGGAGAGGAGGAGGGGGAGAATGTGGGAGGACGAGAAGGAGGAGGAGACGGAAAGCGAAGAGGACGAGGAGGAGGAGGAGGAGGCGCAACACAGGGCGGGAGGAGGGCTTCCGCCAGGGCGAAGAGGAAGAAACGAGGGGCAAATTAAATCGATTCTCGTGTGGGGTTCTACCGTCGGAATAGCTTTTGGCCTCCAGACGCCCTCTCGGGGGCCCTCTTGGGGCCATCTTCGGTCGTCCTGCGGGCCTCTTGGGCCCTGTTGGGCCCATCTTGCCATCTTGGGTTGTGTTGGGGCCATCTTGGGCCGTCTTGAGGCCATCCTGGGCCACCATGAGGCGCCATCCTGAGCCATCTTGAGGTTCTCGTGGGCCCACAAGAGGCCCAAGAGGTCCAGATCATTGATTTTCTATCGGTTTTGTTTCGGTCTTGAATCCCAGAAGGGAAGGAGGCACTTTTGGTTCATGGATGCTTCTGTAAAATGATACAATATGTAACATTGGTGCAATACTTTGATACATTGGATGCGTCGAATTAGGGCGTTCGAAGAAAAACGCTGCCGCTCAGCGTGTCAACTCCGGACTCGGATTCCTTTCGCTTTGCGGGGTGCACGTCCAGAGCGCGTATAGACTTGGCGTTCGGTGGTTTGCCTTGCTCGTCTGCCGCGAATTTCTGCCGGTCGTTCCGCCCGCCCCGAGGCGTTGCCAGCGCCGCGGGGGGTGGATGCGCCCCCCCTCCTCCCCCCGTTTCAGTGCCGGGGCGAGCGCACGAGGGCAATATGCCTTCACCGCGTGTCAGCACAAGGCAACGCCGAGTTCAAATTCGGATGAACATAGGGACAACGTGCCATTCGTATACAATTGCGCGGGCCCCTTGGTGGTTTCTCGGGGCCGCTTGGAGTTTCTTGGGGGCTTCTTGGAGGCTTCTTGGGGGCCCTTGGAGGTCTTATGGGGACGTCTTTGGGGCCTTCTGGGGACTTTTGGGGCCCTTGTGGGCCGTCTTGGGGCTCTCTCCCCCGTGTGGCCCCTTCGGAGGCCGTCTTGGGGGCCTCGCCGTTTTGGGCCCTTCGAGCCGTCTCGGAGGGCTTCTTTGGGACATATTGGCGGCCTCCTGGGCCGTCTTGGGGCCCCCTTGGCGGTCATAGGCCCCCGAGGGTCGAAAAGGACAGATCGCGAAAATCTTGGCCTCTGCAGCTGCTCTTTGTGGTCCCCTTGGAGCCCTCTGGGGCCATCTTGGGCATCTTGGGGCCATCTTGGGCCATCTTGCGGCCATCTGTCTTGAGGCCCTCTTGGGCCCCCAAGAGGCCCAAGAGGCCAATTCATTTTTTATATAAAAAATTATCCCAGTGCGACCCTACCTAGGAATTGGACCCCCTAGGAAAGCAGCATTAGTAGTAACCGCTAAGCTAAAGCTAAGCTAAAGCTAAGCTAAAGCTAAGCTAAAGCTAAGCTAAAGCTAAGCTAAGCTAAAGCTAAGCTAAAGCTAAGCTAAAGCTAAGCTAAAGCTAAGCTAAAGCTAAGCTAAAGCTAAGCTAAGCTAAGCTAAGCTAAGCTAAAGCTAAGCTAAGCTAAAGCTAAGCTAAAGCTAAGCTAAAGCTAAGCTAAAGCTAAGCTAAAGCTAAGCTAAAGCTAGCTAAGCTAAAGCTAAGCTAAAGCTAAGCTAAAGCTAAGCTAAAGCTAAGCTAAAGCTAAGCTAAAGCTAAGCTAAAGCTAAGCTAAAGCTAAGCTAAAGCTAAGCTAAAGCTAAGCTAAACTAAGCTAAAGCTAAGCTAAGCTAAGCTAAGCTAAGCTAAAGCTAAGCTAAAGCTAAGCTAAAGCTAAGCTAAAGCTGAGCAACAGCTAAGCTAAAGCTAAGCTAAAGCTAAGCTAAAGCTAAGCTAAAGCTAAGCTAAAGCTAAGCTACAGCTAAGCTCAAGCTAAGCTAAAGCTAAGCTAAAGCTAAGCTAAAGCTAAGCTAAACGCTAAGCGAAAAGCTAAGCGAAACACTAAACTAAAGCTAAGCTACAGCTAAGCTAAAGCTAAGCTAAAGCTAAGCTAAAGCTAAAGCTAAAGCTAAAGCTAAAGCTCCCAGGGGACTGGGGGGAACCGCGGGGCGGGGACTGGGGGAACCGCCCGGGGCGCTTTCCACTGCCCGGCCCCTTTGAGCTAGAGAGTAAGAACCCTTCTAGGCAGAGCCTAGGTAGGGAAAAAAGGTTTTGGTTGGCTTTTGCAGCTCAGAAGGGGGGACACTTTTGCTTCGCGAATGTGGCGTGACTGCGGTTGGGGTGCTAGGGGAGGCTAGATGATAACGTGAAAGAAGGCACGAAGTCGTAATTGTGTAACGCGTTGATGCATCGGATACGTGTCATTAAGGCGTTCGCCGAAAAAAACGCTGCCGCTGAGAACGTCACCTCCGCACGTGGATTCTACAGGCTAACGCTACAGCGGCGGACCCATTTGGATCGTTGTGTGCCTGGAGATTCACTTGGATCGGGCAGGGGAGTGACTGTGCCCGTGCTTGTGAGACAGTCGTGAGGCCTCTTGGGCACCGTTTTGGGGCCTCTGTGGGTCTCATGTAGGTTTGTAGGCGGTTTCTTTGGGCTTCATGGGGGCCGTTTGGGCTCCTGCTAGCGGCCTCTGAGGTCCTTCTGGGGCGGACAATTCGAGACGTCAGTTCGCGTTCCCCCCACTGGGGTCCTCTTTTGGCCGTCTTGGAGACTTCTTGGTCTTTGGCAATTTTGGGACCGTCTTGGTCCATCTTGGAGTCCCTTGGTGGGCCTCGTGGGCAATTCTCGGGCGACCTTAACGGCCTCTTGGGCCGGCTTGGTCGCTGTGAAAGCCCAAGGGACGAATCTGCTAAACACATGTTTTCCCAAGAGGAATTGTACGATGTTTGCGCCTGGAGACCCTTGGGGGAGTGCTCTTGGAGGCCTCTTGGGACGTTTTGGACGCGTCGTGGGCAGTTTGGAGGCCATCTCAAGCGTTGTGGGCCGATCTGTCGGCGACTCGGGGCCCACTTGCACCGTCTTGGGTGTCCCTAGGCCCGTCTCGGAGCTACCAAGAAGTACCCGAAGAGCCTAGATCCGCCCATGGCGCGTTCTCGAGAGGGTTGTCCGGGGCCCCGGGGTGGAGGGGGAGGGGTACATTTCCAGATTGGGGTCCTTGGGGGGGATTCTGGGGGGGAGCAATCTCACACGCCTGGAGGCCCACAAGGGGTCGGCGGATTTGATGCTAGTGCACAATATCATCTGAGACAGTCGTATCACAATATGCAATTGTGATGCCATATGTGCGAACACACAGAATCGTATCAAACTTCGCAGATATGTAATCGCGTATATCACAGCTTATTGTTCGCTGCAACGCGCGAGTGGCCCAGGGGAGGAATAGAGCCCTCCGCGCACCCCTATATTCAAGGGTGTTCAGCGAAAATATGGGAACATGTGTCATACCGTCCAGTCAGAATCGTCATCGCACTTGGGGTGTGGGAGAGGCGCGAATGCTTCCTTTCCCGTGGGGCTGCATGGGCAGGAGTTCGTTTTGAGTTTTTGTCGCCAAACTGCTCGAGGTCTCCCCCTTCCGACCATACCTGTTGTAGTCGGGGCAGGGCGAGTGTGGTCAAGCGGGTAAGTAGATTGAGGCTTTTGTTTGTGTCTTCTTTTTGTAGGCAATGCTGCGCGTCACGCTGGAGCTGGACCTCTCCGACAACGAGTTTGGCGATGCGGGTGCCATTTGCCTCATCAGGACTCACCTTATTTGTATTTTCTGTATCAGGCGTAAGCTGGGGTCGGATTGATCAATCGATCCACGTCGCAGACGGTGAGATCTCGTGCGAGGTCTTCAGTTCAAGCAGGAGTCTCATCAAACAGGGTGCATCCTTCCACTGCCAGCGGTATGCGTGGAGCAGAAGCAACGACTATGCACGTATGAACACAAACAAAGAAACACATACCCGACCAACTCAAATTGGCAATTGGGAGCCAGGAGCTTGGAACCGGAGACTGGGAGCCAGGAGTTTGAACCTGGACCTGGGACCATTTGGGGTCGTATTGCTCAATCGATCCATGTCGCGCGGTGAGATCTTTTGTCAGGGCTTCAGCTCGCGCAGGAGTTTCATTAGACAAAGAACGTTCTCCCATCGCTTGCGGTGTGCACGGAGCCGAAGCAACGACGATGCACGTATGACCACAACGAAAAAACACATACCCGACCACTAGGAGCCAGGGGCCTGGAACTGGGCACTCGGATCCGGAAACTCGAGCCGCGACCGGGGACCCGGGAATCGGGAGCCCAGAACGGGGAAATGGTGTCCTTGAACCAATAATTGGAAGTAAGTTCTCGGGAACTACGTTCCAGTTTTCGGGAACTGAATTAAGATTCTTCCTCCTCTCCTCTCTCGTACCCCCCTGAGCGTGATATTAATCCTGCGGATATTCATCCGCTCGTTAGAATGATGAGAGAGGGGTTGAGGGTGTAGGTGGAAGATGATGAGGCGGAGGAGAAGGGGGATCATGGAGAAAATAAGGAAAATTAGAAAGGAGCACCAGGATAATGGCACTCGCACGGAGGGATCAGGAGGAGGACGATGGGAGGAGAGAAAGTATGAGGACCAGGAGTGGGAGGGGAGCGGGATCTCCCCAGGAAGAGGCGGAAGGAGAAGCACCAGAAGAAGGACACTCCTACGGAGACCGCTTGGGAAGATCTAGCACGAATGGGAAAAGAAGCAATTGTCGGAGGAGGAGTTGGGGGTGGAAGCGGAGGAAGATCGGGATCAGTGAGGACATGCTCTTCCACAGTCATTTTTCCCTCTCATCCTGTGGTGTTGGGTCCTCGTTTTCAAGAGACAGCGCCCCGCGTCCCACCTCGCCTCCTCCTCCTCCTCGTCCTCCTCCTCCTCCTCCTCCTCCTGCTCCTCCTCCTCCCTCCTCCCCCGCACCGCACCCATTTCGGCATTCCCAACCATCCTGTGGTGTTGGGCCCTCGTTTTGAAGAGACAGCGCCCCGAGTCTCACCTCCCGCCGCACCCCCCCCCTTTAGGGAGCTCCATCGAAGGCCCCAGTGGGGAAGTTCGCATGGCGGCCTCGCCCCAGTTCGGCGCACCCCTCACGAGGATCGTGGCCCCATAGGGAGCTCCACCGAAGGCCCCAGTGGGAAAGCTCGCATGGCTGCCTTGCCCCAGTTCGGCGCACCCCTCACGAGGATCGTGGCCCCATAGGGAGCCCCACCGAAGGCCCCAGTGGGAAAATTCGCATGGCGGCCTCGCCCCAGTTCGGCGCACCCCTCACGAGGATCGTGGCCCCATAGGGAGCCCCATCGAACATGATAGTCACGACTGCGGTACTCACAGCTGCAGATGGTTGGGTCTTTCGCCGGGCTAATTGTTTTTCAGCCCAATGTTTCTCTTCCTCATCCTCCCACTGCCGGGAGATAGCTGTGCCCAGACCCAAGACCTTGGCCTCCCTGGGCCCGGGACAGCTCTCTCATGGTCGTGCTCTTCGTCGGGCTGATCGTCATGGCCATCGTCGTCGGCGTCGTCGTCTCTGTTGTCTCTGTCGTCGTCGTTGCCGTCGTCTACCTCAACGTTGCTCGTCGTCGTCACTCGTTGTTGACGTGGTCGCCGCTCATCGTCGTCGTCGGTGGTCTTCTTTACAACTAACTGACCTCTTCGTTGTCGTCCACGCTCGTCTTCTGCTTCGTCGTCGTTGTCGTTGTCGTTGTCGTCGTCAACGTCAACGTCAACTTCACTCGTTGTCGACGTGGTCGTCGCTCATCGTCGTCGTCGGTACCCCTTCTTTACTACTGGTCTCTTTGTTCGGGCTCGTTTTCTGCTTAGTCGTCGTCGCCGTCGTCAACGTCACTTTTCGTCGTCACTCGTTGTCGATGTGGTTGTTGCTCTTAGTCGTCGTCGTCGTCGCCGCCGCCGCCGTCGCCGTTGTCGTCGTCGTCGTCGTCGTCGCTCGTCGCTCGTCGTTGCTGTCGTCCTCGCATTGGTTACTTATCATCATTACCGTCACTGGTGGTTGTCGTCGTCCTCGTCTTCACTTGTGGTCGATGTCGTCACTTATCGTCGTCGCCGCCGTCGCCGTCGTCGTTAGTCGTCTGCGCACGTCTCTTCTCGTCTTCGTTGTCGTCGTCGTCGTCGCTTGTCGTCGCTTGTCATTTGTCGT